ATTTGAGTATAATGACTGGACTTAGTGATGTGTTTGTGTTTATGTGGGCAGGATGTGGTTTGTGGACCTGGCAGGAAGTGAGAGGGCATCTGATGCCAAAGAACCAGACAGACAGACTCGTATGGAGGGCGCTGAGATCAACCAGAGCTTGTTGGCTGTACGTTATATCAGATGTCATATTCAGATGTTTACATATATGATCTGTTTTCTTTAATTTAACCATTTCACCCCTCAGCTCAAGGAATGTATCCGTTCACTGGATAAAGACGAATCTCACACACCTTTCCGACAAAGTAAACTTACTCAGGTAAAGAGACTGATGCCAGTATATACAAGTGTGTAAACAATTTCATTTTAAACAGCTTTATTTTCACTTTAGGTTTTGAAAGACTCATTTGTCGGTGACTCAAAAACATGCATGATAGCCAACATCTCGCCGAGCCACCGGGCGACAGAACACTCACTGAATACACTGAGATATGCAGATCGGTAAGTTTGTTTACATGAACCGGCATATTGAGGGAATTTTGAAATATTTGTATTTTTATGACAATAATTCTATCTGGGATGGCATATGTGTTTTATTTTATAGTGTGAAGGAATTGAGGGGACAAGGTGCGCTAAAGCAGAAAAAAAGATGTGAGGCAGGCGTATCCTCCAAACATGATGTGTCCAACAATAACAAGAGTCAAAGCGATGTTGGTGTCCAGAAAAAGACTAAATTTAAGACACAAAGTGTGACTTTTGGTCCCGACAAACCTGCAGTAAGGTTACACACAGAGGGCACAATTCTCTGCTCAACACCCAAGAACAGTAGATGTGGACAGAAAACACAATCAAAGAACAGAAGAGGAATAGGACCTGAGCATGTTACATCTATTAGAGGTTGGCTGTCAACTGGTGACAGCAGGCATTGGAGTAAAAGAGCAGATGAAAAGGAGGGTAGGAGGATTGAAAATGTAAGGTCTAGAAGCTATTACAGTTGTGTTCATGAGAAAAGTACCAGGGCACCATCGGTGTATGAACAACAAACCAAAGGGCAGCAAAATAAGGAAAAAGCCGTCGCAAGTTATTTGGCTTTTGCTAAAGTACAATCTGGAGTCCAACTCAGAGAAAAAGAGACTCACCTACTCAACACAAAAGGTAGAAGAAAAGAGCAAACAAAATGGATAGAATCAAGAGGACAAACAGAGAACCTCTACAGTTGTAGAAGTACTGAAGAAGAGATGCAAAGACAAAGAGATTTACTTCATGATGATCATAAGGAGAAAATGAGACATCTGAGACAGTACCATCAGCAGCTGCAGCAGTTTTCCCCTTCACAAGCTTCTTCATCTGTTCATCTCCTCTCATCATGTCCATCTTTCTCTTCCTCCACTCAGGGCTCCCTGTCGTCACTCGTGCACTCCCCTTACTTGGCACATGTTACTCAGATGGATCATAACTTGAAAGGTTTTTCAGATATATACACAGACAGGGTGGAGGTTGATTTTAATAGAAGACAAATTCCTTTACTCAGTGAGGAGGCTTTTGCACAAAATGAGACCTTTTCGAAGTACTGTACGAACAATGATGTGGATGGTGGTGTAAGGGAAGATCGGAGCATATGTAAGAGTGAAAGTGAGAGACTGGTTGAGGCAAAGAACGTCAGGAGAAAAAACAAGCGGTGTGCTTGGGCAGCAGAGGAAGAGATGGAGTCTGCAAACAGAATGACAAGTGCACCTCCAACAAATATAGAGGCACAGCTGGATTCAGATGACAGAACAGATCTGAGTGTGGAAGGGCTGGTTGCATCAGATGCTCCTGATAATGGAGTGTGGAGCGCTGGGCAGACAGAAGCAGCTGATGACTACAGCAGCAGCAAAGACAGCTGCTTTAGTCACCCGTCTTTTGTGTCACAGCATCAACAAGCTCTTGCAGAAAGACCTCTTTCTCCAGTACTCATTTCTGACAACAAATCTAATAAACAGGACTGCAATATCCTTATTTTACCATTTCAAAATCTTTCAGAAGCAGTACCGCCAAACTGTGCCAGTAAAATACCTTTTTCACACGTTCAGGCACGCACATCGCCTGTCACAACCATCATGACGTTGACTGAGTCATTTAACAAGCCTTCAGAATGTCCTGTTCACACACAATCAGGTAACCATCCAGACTTCAAAGCCAAAATGTCTGTTCTTTCTCAAGATGAGACTTCTTTGGAGCCCTTTAGCTACACTATGGACCCCCTGAACATCTCCTTGTTTCATGTGGACCAACAGCCCACTACAGCCTCATTCATCCACGGGCACACCAGCAATACCTCCCTCTGCAAACGTAAAAGTGAGAACGAAGAAGGTGGTGCTGGAATAGAAAGTTTCTTGGGTTTTGAAATGGAGAGGGAAATTGTAGATGATGAGGATGCAGAAAATACCCCGTCTTTTTCAGAGCGTGCTAAGATCTCCCACTCTACTGCACCCAATACATCTGACACTTCTGGGTTTACACTGCTGTCCCTTCATGATGGAGAGAACAATCAGAAAAATCAGCCAACTTTAGATCACAAAGCCTCTGCATCTCAAACTCGCCATCAAACACATCTCACGTCACTTCCTATCCAGCACGTTGAGGACACCAACTCATTCACTGTGTCCAAACGACCACAACATGCACATGAAGAGCACAAAACATCATGTTCCATTACAACACGATTAGAAAATGTCTCAGGCCACTTGAAAATAGCACATTCAAATCAGTCAAGCAAGACAACGGAGCCAAGTGGTCAAGAAAGCAACAGTAATCAACAAATTAGGCCCACAATCCATCAGTTTACCATGGACAACTTGAACCATGCCAAGTAAGTACAATACTCTTTAGAACAAGTGAAAATGCTAGTAACGGCACTTACCGAAGTAAACTTTTGTTTTAGATGGTGTGTCTTTGAGGCCCACTTGGAGCAGCTAAAGGAGGTGAAAGCTTTGTGTCATAAAGAGGGAAAGCTTCTTAGCCAACAACATGATATGGTTAGACGAAACACATCCTCAGCTGAAAGTTCAAACAAGTTATTCTCCTTTCATGTAACTTTAAATTTAAAACACCTTGCTTTAAATCTCGTCCCTGCTTGTATTTCCATATAAAAGGCATTTGGAGAATACGTCCACAAGCTGGCAGAGATCCTGGAGAGAAAGGCAAGATGTGTACACAGCATGAGAACTCAGCTGCAGCCATATCTGAAGTCCATTTTGTTGAACCCCTCAACACAAGGAGATAATCCTGATTCAACTGTGTAAATGAAACATGTTTTGTTTTTTTATTTGCACAGTTTAGATGTTAAATTGTGTGTAAGTGCAGAGTGTGTTTTGTCAGTTTGATAAAATGATCTGTTTATTTTATTGTATTCTATTTTAATGGCTTGATTTTTTTATGGGGATTTGTCAAACTTCCCTTGGTGTGTGCCAGATCAAGACAAGTGTTTCTAAAGAGAAATTTGACTAAACGTGTTTCCTCGTTGTGTCAGGAATAGCTATATGTGGAAGAATGTTAAAGAAAAAGCTTGTCTGTTATATTGGTGCATAATGTTCAGTGTTTGATTCAAGTTTTTGTAATTGTTCATCTCAGGACATACTATTACACAAAGTGATAGACATTGTCTTAGCTGTTAAGATTAATGAAGTGGAGGAAGGTGGGAGTGCTGTACTTCCACAACCATCCCAACATTTTTGTTGTTGATCCGGGGATTCAAAATGGCGACTTATCTGAATATTTAATGCACTGTATGAACAAAAATGTTTGATTGCATTTAATTTGGAAACATTTCCTCACAGTCATTTAATCAGTCGTCTTATTTGCTTTCTGGACTTTTGTTTTGCTTTGGTTAATAAAATGGCAAATTTTGAATACACCCAACAGACACTTCAAGAGATAATCTTGGTATTTGACTTAGTCTGATATTTGAGTGTTAAAGTGATTTTATCCAGAGTGGATAAACCAGACAAGCCCATTAATCTTTTGTTTGAGACAAAACTAAAGAAAGAAACTCTCAATACTGATCAAGCTGTTTACTAACCAAGTTTTTGGTGTGACACCTACAAGATTTGGACTTTTTATTTAAGTAGAACATTTGTTCATCAGTTCATTTGTTTCAGCCAATGGACTTAATTTATTCTTACTGGAAGATGTATCGAGAACACAATTTTAGTGTATTCAGTTTATGGGCAAATGGAAAAAATATGGTGTAAATATTTAGTGTTTTGCTCACTCTAACTGCAAATAAGCTGTATAATAATTGTAGATCATCACTGCAGCATGATTTATCAGGAATTTTAATTCATACATGTACTGAAAATCAACTGTGGGACATTAATGTCCCTCACACAAACTTGTGCTCCTTCAAAAACAATTATTTGTAACTGAAGTCGGAACTTAAATGTGGCCATATCAATACATTAAATTTATTCTTATTTACCTAAACTTTGAGAGAAACTTGTGTGCTTGTTGAAGGTATTGTTTTGCTGCATGAGTCACCTTTTATTGAAAATGTCAACAGCCATAAATTTTGATATTTTCCATCAGAATTTGTATTCAGATTTAGATGGGTTTTAACTGAGTAGTTGTAAGTTAACTTTCATTCAACCTTTATTTGTACAGGTTAGTCCCATTGAGTCTCAGAGACTCATTTACAAGAGAGACCTGATTTTAGCAAAGAGTGATGACAACAATAGAAAACAAAGACACCAGTAGACAATCATTAAAAAAATACAAATTGAGAAGAACAAATAAAAGAAAATGTATTTAAAAAACAGCTAGGTTTTCAATTTTAAGTATTGTACGTAATAAATAAAAACACTGTGACGCGCAAGGTATTGTAAAAGCTTTATAGACTGGCAGCACTGTTTACAATTAGACATATCCCACTTGTTGTCTAGCGATGTGAGGCGAGCATGCACCCACGGGAACGCGTACGTCCAGGCCACGTGACCTGCTTTGCGATTCTCGGTTGGTTACTTGGATCCACTTCACTACGATTAACTACGGCGAGGGGTCACGTGACAGTAACTGCTGCTGCTGTTGCTGCTAGCTGCTGGCTGAGCGAAGCGTGTTAGCAGGTAAAATAAATACATGTTTTATATATGGATAGGGTTGGAAATTCGCGACAAAAGATAAAGAATATCGACTTGTAGAGTTGGTTTTATTGTTGGGAAAACCGTTGGACCGACTTACGTTCTTTGGTGGTTCGCGAACTAACTCGAGCCCTGTCTATTGAACGCCGCATAATGTGGATGGGCCGTTCACATGCCGGGGCTGGTATCAAAATAGTTGCATAAGTGAAGTATAGCTTGGGGAGCTACTCGCATTTTAACAAATATAATTTAGCCACGTTCAAATTTTTTTTTTTTTTTTTTTGAGAAATAGGTATTGCCTGTTGTGACTTTTGAAGAAACCATATGTTCGTTTAGGTTGTTAGCATGCGGCTAACATTAGCTCATCTGTCGGTTAACACAACAAAGGGCTCATCGTCGGAACACAGACGCAGATTTGTTTTCTCTTCCTGCCTCGGTAAGGTTGAGCAAAAACCGTAACTTTCTTTGACAGCTGAAGAAAAGGGTGATAGCGCTAATCCATTTTCAAAGATTTGTGGCAAATTGAAAGGATTTTCCTGGGAATTTCACACGGATGGAACAAAGACGCGTAGTTAGCCCGGCTACAGCTACCCACAGGGCTAGGTTACCTAATCGAGCGTCAGCTTGTGTCGGTTATATTTTGTACCGTCGGTCAACCGAAACTTCCACGGTTGTGTTGTCCAAGTAAAATATAAATAACAAACATTGGTATTAACGTGAACTCTCCAGTTAACGGGGGCTGGTGGATGTCGCATAACATAACTTTTGAGTTTTCTGTCAGTTACCTTAAATTTATTATACATTTGTGCCATCTCACACAATTGTTACTGTTTTTAATTACCGTTAGTAATGTAACTCAGTGGTTCGGTGCTTAACATCTCGACTGTTTGAGATAGTGTACTATTTTGTTTTGAACACATTTCACTAATGTTTGTGGATATTCTCTCATAGATAAGTGGCAAAAGTGTTAGCTCTTATAAATGCTGGTGCGTACAGAGACGGTGTTTTTGTGTGGGGGAAAGGGAGGGAGAGCTGTAAAATGACACCGGACAGTCCCCTCTTGGCTGGCTAAATTTAACTTGGATGTGGGGGGCGACAGTTGGTTATAGTCTTACATGGTATAGAACAGTGAGTCTCAGACTGTACAACACTAGCTCATTTGCTCAACACTGTTTTTTTATGGATGCAGCCATGCAATGTGATCATCTTCTCACTGATTGATTCACACTCTTAACTCTCTTTCTCTTTCAGATTTTTCTATTTTGTACATACATTGTTTTGTATATACTGTATATGATGACTTCAGTGGTCAGCAATCAGACCAGAGGGTCCCGGGACAAGCCGCTGCCCACCTCCACACCAACATCACAGCCACAGAAACAGATACAGGTGAGCTTTTACTGTTGTATGTTTAGTTGCTTACCTTTGGCTGTTTAAATGTTATGGGTCTGGCCATGACATATGCAAATACAATGTATAGATGCTTTTTCTCTTGCCTCTGAAACCTTGTTTTGTTCTACTGAACTTGTTTAAAAGTGATGGTACTGCATGCTCCTAATTAATTTCTCTCTGAACCCTGTTTACTTGCCAGGCCACAGCAGAACAGATTCGTCTTGCCCAGGTGATTTACGACAAAAATGATGCTGACTTTGAAGACAAGGTCAAACAGGTTTGTGCATGCACAGACATTTAGAAAAAAAGCCATCTTTGGTAGAATTTGTTCCTAGAAATTTAAAACACTAAAGCCCTTTTTGGTATTTGGTGTCCTAATGTCTTATCACGTTTTTGACATTCAGTTGATTGAGGTAACTGGGAAGAATCAAGATGAATGCGTGGTAGCCCTGCACGACTGCTTTGAAGATGTTAACAGAGCCATCAATTTTCTGCTGGAGAGCACTTCTGACACAGTATGTGCATGTACAAAGCATAATTCATCTTCATATACTCAAGTCTTGTTTTTGAATTGGTATATTGGTTCTTTTTCTGTGTTGCAAAGAATATGTACATAATAATAATTATTATTGTTTAATAATTACCCAGATTAATTTTTATTGCGCCTATGTCACTCATTTGTTAACTTCTTCAGAACTCTTGGGAGACTGTGGGGAAGAAGCGTAACCTTGGTAAAGAAGCCGGACCTTCAGATGTAAAAGAGAACAGGGCAGATGTAAAAGAGAACAGAGAGAAGAAAGCAGAGAGAGAGGTCAGTCGTGGACGTGGAGGGTCCAACAGGAGGGGCAGAGGAATCAGCCGGGGTCGTGAAGGTATGAAAAGTAAAGGCAGGTAAAATATCATGGTTTTGTCTGTTTGTCATAAGGTTTTGATTTGTTGAAACATTACGAACACTTTTAGGAAAATTTGAAAAATAATAGACTAATTGCTTCTTAACTTCCTTACTTTGTTTCCTGTTGGGTTCTAGGCAGGACCGAGGAGAATGGGTTTGATGTGGCTCCTGGAGAAAGGGGTGGTGATCATGGACGCAGGGGCCGTGGCAGAGGTAACATTGGAATATACCGTTTTTTTTTGTTTGTTTGTTTGTTTGTTTGTTTTTTCCAAATACAAAGTTGGATAGCATTCATTTTGCAGAAATCTGGGGATACCACTAACATCGCTTAGAATTGCTTTCTAGCTGATATTCTGTCACAAATATTTGCTTATTGATATTTTTTTATCTGCTGAAGTCCGTTACTTTTTTAAAAGTGCTTCATCAGAAGTTATGCTGCAGTATTCCAATCACTGACAATTCTGTTTTTCTTGATTTCAGGGGTAGGAGGTCGTGGCAGAGGAAGAGGAGCTGCTGGTAACAGATTCTCTTCTCAAGGGATGGGGTAAGTACATTTGCCAAGTTTGAGTTTTAATATCAAAAGTGAACTATTATGTTTTTCTATACTTGTTATAAGGACATTTTTTCACAATAAAATCAACTTTCCGAATCTACTTTCTGTAAAGAAAATACCGGTAAATATTTACCTTATCTACTTGAGTTTACAGCAAAAATTGACAACATATTTTTCACTTATTGTTTTGTTTGTTCAGCCTTCAGTTTTTTTCCTTTTCTCTTGTTGTTCACCTTTTCCTCTTTTCTTCCCCCAGTACTTTTAATCCTGCTGAATACAGTGCAAACTCTGGAGCTCAACAGGAGAACTGGGATGGTGAAGGCAATGAAACTGCTGAGGGAACTGGTAAATAACAAAAATAAACACAAAATAAGATGCCATATTGGTTCCATGTCCTGCTTTTGTTTTTAGAATGGCTTATGATTTCAATCTAGTGGTCAATACCAGATTTCCATATTTATAGTACTAGGTATAAAACAAAAGTATATTTAACACAGGAGCAGTAAAAAAAATCTGCAATTTAAACTTTATTTCAACGTAGTGAGAATAACTTGGCTGTTTTTGTGTTTTTCTTAGGTACATGGGGAGGCAATACAGAAGAGTGGACTTCAGAAGACTGGAATGAGGATGTAAGGCATAAGCATATTTTAATGGTGTGAAATGAGTTTACAATGTGTAGAATACTTAATTAAATATTCATGCATATAAAATATTAAGAATTTTCAGTCATATATGTTAAACAATTTTATCAGAAACATTCTTGGTGAATTAAAAAAATTCAAGATAAAAACAACATATTCTTGGTGGATGGAATAAAAATGTTCACTCCTTGGTTACAGTTTCTATATTGTTCCAATCGTATTGGTTATCTGTAATAATACATACTAGGGGTGTAACAGTACGCTAAAATCACATTTTGGTTCGGTTTAATTTCAAGGAGGACTCGGTTTGGTTAATTTTCGGTACAAAAAAGACCAAATGAAGACTTACAAAACATTTATTTTGAAAATATGCCAAGTAAACGATATGTTTGTATAAAAATAAATAAAAGCAACCCATTTAGATGATATTTTAAATAAACAGCACTCTTTACAATAAATATACTAACAATAATGAAAATCTTAATAAATACATTAACAGTCAGAACCAGAACAATAAGCAGCAACAGACCATTTACAATCTAACTAATCAAGTTTTAAGTTTTTGGTCAAAAAGACCAACTTGTCCACATTTTCTGTCAAAAGCACAGATCTAGTTGCAGTGACATTCTCTCCAGCGGTGGAGAAAACCGCTCACTTAACAACAGGTAGCAGGAATAAAGAGGTAGAGCTTTGCTAATTTTGCAGTGTGTCTGTATTTGGCCCCATTACTCACAACCTCTTGGACCTGCTTCCACAAGTGGGACAGGTCCCTGGAAAAGTTCAGAGTTCACTCATCACAGACTTCTTAGCTGGAGGTGATCTCTGGTGGATTTTCCTGAACAGGAAGACTTATAATTTTCAATTAAAAAAGTTAATTAGATAATAATAATAATAAAAGAACAATACCTCTTCTTGAACGGTTGTTATGAGGTGGTTGAATCTCTCGGTCATCATCAGGGCAGGACTTTATAATAATAATAATAATAATGAATTTAATTTGTAACACACTTTTCATTAACAAAAATCTCAAAGTGCTACAGAGTGCAACTAAAATCAATGATAAAATCAACTAAAATCAGTGATAAAATCAACTGAAATCTGTGATACAATCAACTGAAATCAATGGTAAAATCAACTAAAATCAATTATAAAATCAACGAAAATCAATGATACAATCATGTGGAGGCAGAATAGGCTTGCTTAAAAAGAAAAGTCTTTAAGCCTTTTTTAAAGTCAGTCAGTCACTTTAATCTGGTCCAGGGCTTGTTGACAATATCAGTTTTAGCTTTTTCATAAATTGCTGCTACAACTTTTTTTGGCTGAAGTGTTGACGTGATAGGATGTCGTAGTGGGGCTCAATAACTTTAAAGCCGGTGCATTAACAACATTCAGACATAGATCCAGAGCTTTAAAAACTCCTACAGCTTATGTTATTGCTCTGGACCGATCTGACTTACCTGATAAAGATTGTTTAAATGCTGCTGTTATTGGTGTTTGAAAAAAGCTGCTATTCTGTAGAAGAGACGTTCATGTTCGGATGATGTTGTTTCAAGAGCGTGAACAAGTTAGACGTGTTGCTGCTGCAGATCCACTCTTGATGAAACAACATTGACACACGGCTTTGGATTTGTTCACTTGTCTTTTAACAAGAAAGCCATAATGTTCCCAAACAGGAGACTGCAACGAGATGCTAGGTTGCTAATGCTACGCGTGCTGCAAGATAATAGCGCCGTGCTGAAAAACGCTTAGGAACTTTAGTTCCGCGGCGCATAATCTCGTTAATAAAATTTAATGAGTGAAAAAATAACTGAAACGGTACGCACGTGGACCGAACCGAACGTGCTGTACCGAAACTGTTCAATACACCCACATGTACGTTACACCCCTAATACATTCTGTTTCATAACCACAAGGAGTTGTTTTGGGTTGGAAAGATTTTAGTAAATTAATTTGTTACCCCTTTCCTAGTTTATAGATAGGGTAAAAATGATTCTGAACAGATCATTGACGCATTTTCTGGATTTAATGAATATGTCTCTAGGACTTAGTTTAACAAAAAAGTGCTAATACATGTACCTCGTTTCAGCAGTAATCTAAAATAATCTGGCACACCTTTTTATTTTCTTACTTTGTTTCAATATACTGTAGTTGATATGAAAGCTCTGCTAACTAGACACAAAATTGCAAAATTCATTAATAAAATTAATGGAGCCTCAGACTTTGCTCATCTTTCTTTTTTACCACCACTTTAGTTGTTTTATTTTTATGTATTGCCAGTGTCATCAAGTGTGGGTTTCAGGTTCAAAGTAGCATAGATCTGATATTTATCCTATTCAGCACTACTCAAGATCAGATGAAACAATATTAGTAAATAGATTTTATTCAAATAATAATAAAAAAAATCACAAGTCCTAAAATATCACATTTGTGCAGCTCGGGTAAATCTAAGAAATCAGGTGATTGTATTTGTGTCTTCTCACAGTTGTCTGAGACCAAAGTGTTTACTGCCTCTTCTGCTCCAACAAACAACATTGTTCCAGGACGAAAGTAAGCCATCTCTTTCTCTTGCAAAAGCTGCATAAAACACCGTTTATAAAAAATGTCTCCATTTCTTCTCTTCAAATCTTGTTTAACCACTTGTTCTTTTCTGCTCTCTTGTGACTTGCTTTTCCTCAGTGTGGACTTCTCTACCCTACTGCCAAAGACCGGGGGCACTGTAGGAGGTTCTGTGGACCCTGACTTGGGAGCGATAGTAGATGGTCACTCTTCAGAGGATTTGGGCCAAAGCCTGGTGTTCACCAATTCTCATCACAATGGGCGCAGTGCACCACACAGTTACGCACATGCCACAGCCAACAGTTATGCCCATGCTGCCTCTGCTAACACCACCTATGCAATGGTATTCACAATATGCACTTTGATCTGTGCAAGAACTAGTGTTTGTTGATGGTACTAATCTAGAGCAGTACTCGGTACTGAGTTTGTTTTTTGTCTGTGTTTTCAGTCTTCAGTCATAGGTTCTGGTTTTGGATCCCTGAATGTACCTAAGCAGGCACCTGCTGCTGACATTCGGACATCGGAGCACCTAAATGGTCCTCGGCTTGGTCAGAGAACTAGTCAGATGGTGGCGACCACCTCCAGCAGTAATGTGTCCAAAGAATCAGGGCCACCTCCAGTGCAAAATACTGCTCCTGCCCCCTCCCCCTCTGCAGATACCATGGTCCAAAGGGTAGAGAACAGCCCCGTTATGTCCCAAAGCTGTAAGGATCTTAAAATGCAAAAACCGTGGCTTACTAATAAACGTGTAATCTGAGACAACTGTATTTATGCTGATTGTTTTTTCTAGTGGAAATGAAGATTCAACCAGAGCCATCAGCAGTGCTCAGCCAGCTGGCTCAAAGGCAGCAACAGTCCTCCATTCTTACGACCACAGAGCCTCTGGGCCTGTCTCAGTCACACGCACCACAGGTCCCAACACCACCAGGTAGATCTGACCTTCAGACCAGTGTCTTGATGTGCTGCTAAATACATGAGAAAACTTTACTGAATATTATGTAACATTTAGGCTGCAAGATAAATCTAAATTTGTTTTCTAACAATAGCTGCTGGATTAAATTTTAGAAAATTGTGTTGGGTGTTCCACAAAAGAAATTTTGTGGATTGCAACCAGAGTTCGTGATATGCTAAAATATAAATAATACACACACTTGTGACCAGTTGCTTCCTCATCAGATCATGGTACCATCACCATCTTCATTCTCCTCTGACAATTGTTTGAGACATACTGAGTTTTTTCTCTTCTCTTAAATTGCTTTGAAAGTACATGCGTTGTATTGAATTTTCAGGCCATGAGTCCTCCATCCCACCTGTAAGAGATGGAGCTTCTCCTGGAGGCAAGCAGCCAGGTCTGGAGTTTTCGATCACTGAGGCCCCCCAGCGGCAATTAAAGACACAGAGACGCAGAGCACCTCCTCCTTCAAAGGTCAGTTCTAGTTATAGCTGAATGTTTGTTTACAGAAAATATAGAAAGGCCTCCTTCAAAAATGGTTGAGTAATGTTAGTTGTAAAGTCAGGTAGTACCTAGATGTCATTAACTTTACATAATGTATACAGAAAACATTATTTGAGGATAGACATGCATATATAATATTTCAATGTTGAACCATACACTCCATGACTTGCTAATAAAGTTTTGCAGCTTTTTTTTTCCCCTTAAAGGAAAAATAATTTTTAGCATTTTGTGTTTGCCTTCTTTTCACAAGTCTATACAACACATTTGTGCTCTACTGCAGATTCCATCATCAGCTGTGGAGATGCCTGGCTCAGCGGATGTATCTGGTCTGAATGTTCAGTTTGGAGCTCTTGACTTTGGGTCTGAAGCTGGTAGTGCAGCGGCAGACATGTCACAGCCTGAGATGTCCAGAGAGCACACCCCTGCCATGGCCCAAACAAATATACCCACTTCTGCACCTGTTTCCACACAGCAGCAACAAAGCAGCATTTTCCCCAAACCAGGAGCTATGAGGTACATTCTTTAAAACAAAGAGTTTAAGTTAATGTTTGTATGTTTTTAATGTTTGCACGTTATTTAGAAAATATTTGAAGATGCAGAGCAATTTTCTAATGGGTTGGCTTAAAATTTACACCTACTTTATTATGTTCATCTTAAATTACTTTTAATGTTTTAGTCTCCCATGAATGATTAAGAACACCTTGATTTCATTTGTCTGGCTTCTTTTGCATTACAGTTTTGCAGGATTATGCGATTAGGCGATCTTGTATTTGCCCTTGACTGTGTGTGTTCTTGTCTGTTTGCAAAATATCTCATGAACCAATCAACAGATTATGAAACTTCCAGAAAGTAATCATTGGATACACAACTACAGTTGATGAACTTAAGTCAAGCCAATTCAGGATTGCTGCCACAGCTGATCAAACTTATCAAACATAAGAATGGCTATAATCCAGTCAGTTTTACAGATATTCAGCTGAAACTGAAATTGGATGTGGTAAAAAGCTGAGAGTCATCCCCAAGACTCTGTGACACCTTACATAAATTGTCGAGATTTAACCAAAGTGGCTAAAATGGTCATTTCTCAACAAAGGGTGAATTTGGGTTAAAACTCTGAGGGGAAGCATTACGTCATGGGATATTTGATCTTTAATTCAATTTTTTATTTGTTAGGTAGAACTAAAATATAAATATTGTGGGTGGTATTTTAAGCTTATTAAAGTTAATTAGAGCAGACAAGAGTAATTTAATGAAAACGTGTGTACCAAAGGACCATGTCTGGGTTGCATCCTTCCCTCCGGAGTTTGTTTTAACATCCTCACAACTGTGTGTTTGTCCTGTGAACAGTGAACACATGAGCAGCTTACCCTCAGCTGTATCGGATGGCAGCTTCCCATCACCATCTATGGGGTTACCTAGTGCTGCCCCCTCCTCTTCTCTTGGCCTCCCCAGTGCAGCAGCAGCTTCTTCTGTTCCTACAACAACCAGTCGTGTGGAGAACAGTGGTTCAAGGTCCCTGCCTCCCCATCTTGGCTTCTCTCAGGGCAAAGATGTCCCATCAGCTTCTAGTGCACCTCTAATGGTGAGGAACTTTATTATGTATGCTTAAAAGTCCTAAATGAGAAAATATACATTTTTAATAAAGCTGGTTTTTTTTTTTTTTTAAGTTTCGTTTGTCTAGTGTATGGCAACATGAATTATAAACATTAAGACTTTGAATATTTTATCTCATCATAGAATGGTTACAGTGGTATGAAGACACAGAGCACACAGGAAGGTAAGTACTTGTAAATAAACACAAAAATGCTTAAATGTATTTAAATTTATTTTATTTATTTATGGAGAGCTTTTAAAGACCGACTAAGATAAAATGTGCTGAATGCATGTGGTGGGAACTAAAGTAAAATGAACGAGATTTGTCTTCTCACAATTTGTCTTGTAACTTTAGCACATCAGATTAATTTCTTTAATTTTTTTTAAATCAGTTACATCGTCATCAAGAACAATAAAATCGGAGTCTACTGTTATGAGCAGTGACGGCAGCTCAGGCCATCATATCCCTTCTCCTGCAGTTACTCCTTCTCACTCAACGGTCTCGTCGCTTAGCAGGTAAGGGTCGTGTCAGTCATGTGACATTTATCCTGGAAATGATGTTACAAGCGCATATCTCAATCCTGCAATGTGGAAATAAAGTTCACTGAATCTCCTGTCTTATAATCTAATCACACTCTTCCTGTATTTGTAGTCATGTGAGCAGCTCTCTCTCGTCTGGATCAACTCTCACCACAAATTCCTCCCTTACAGTAAGATGTTTTACCCAACTAGCGTTTTGTCATTACTTTAGTCAAATATAGCGCGTTTACTTGTGTAGCAATGTTACTGGCTTGTATTTTCAGTGAGTTCTTTGAAAAAAGTTTTAAATGTTAAGACGTCATTTCTTAAACACATGTTGCTAATGTCCTGTTCATTTAGATAACCAATGAGGACAGCAGCAACAACCTCCACTCCTTTTCAACATCAGCCAGTCAAGTTGTATATCCCAGCGCTCCTCTGAGTGCCAGTAGTTCGTCCAGCAATGGTCTGCACCAGACAGGAGGACCAGGACTTACTGCAAATGGCACAAACCCCACAGTCCCAGCTGCAGGCAGCCGCACAGCACCCCAACTCGCCACGACTTCTGGTGCGGTCTGGACCACTTTCACACAAAAATTAACCCTGTTTAGGACTTATTAAATGTCCTTAAACACTGTTCAGTTTCCTCCACCCCCACACATTTTACCATAGGCTACTTTTACATTCAGCAAAGAGTACTTAGATACATGCATGTTATGTTCACTGTATTTATGGAGCAGCATAAATAAACTGTTCTTCCTCTTCTTCAGGTAAAGCTCCTCCCAACCTGGCCCAAGGAGTGCCCCCTCTCCTGGCCAACCAGTACATTATGGGCCCTGGTGGCTTGCTTCCAGCTTATCCAGTAACTACTACCACTTTCCTAATCATTTATTAACTTGTTTTTATAAACTGTTGCCTAGTGTTTGCTTAATGAGAATTAATTTTAATTGATGGGTTTTCTTAGTCTTTAATGTACTTTAAAAAGAGCAAATATAGATATAAAATATAACGACAAAAAAAAAAATCCTAAATGTTTTTCTGAACAGTAAGTTTTATGTAATTTCAGAGACATCAAATTTTAATAGTAACTTGTACCAAAGATTTGCAACTGTTATTATTTCCTGTTCACTGAAAGTTCAGTATGGTTTGTTTTAAAAAAACAATCTTATTCTTAAAGATGACAATCTGTTGTCTTCACTCCAACAGCAGATCTATGGATATGAAGACTTGCAGATGCTGCAGTCTCGCCTTCCTTTGGTAAGTCTATTAGTTTGTTATAGAGACGCACCATCTAAACAGCCAAACTTCAGTGTCCCAGACTTTAACACACAGTACTCGCCAGAGCCTTTGAATTTTCACATTAGGCATGCAGTTGGCATAACCAACAAGAATACAATCAGTAAAGAGATGAACGAGGAAGAAAATTCACCTAAATTGAGTAAACATTTTATAAACAATATAATTAAAAATTTTAATAAATGTTTTTGTTTTTCTTTGCATACCTGTCACTTTAGTTTGAGTTTTTCTATATAGAATTTATCTTGTCTCAAAACTGACATTTTCCTCACTCCATTTCAGGATCAAGGATTAGCATGTAGTTTACAGAATCCAAAAAAAAGTATAAAAACAAAACTGGACTCACTTTCCATTCGGGAGGCTTTATCAATTCATCTGTAGTTTACAGAACTTAAGTCAAATTTAAAAATTCAACCTTTTTTTAAGCAAATATTCTTGCTTTAGGAATTCCTGTTTTTTTTTTTTTTTTTTTTTTTTTTTCCCAAGTTTCATTCTCACATTATTGCTTATTTCTTTATTATTTTATAACTTCATTTATTTTTATTCCACTCCTACCATTTTATGTTATGGTTTAGATTAATTTATTTTGTGGTTTAAAACACAGATCTTAACTTTTTTATGTTTCAATCCAACTTTATTTGTAAAGCACTTTTACACACCATTAATAATAAAAAAAAGAAACGTAAAATACATCAAATCTGAACTAACAATAAAATCTGAATAAACAATAAAGTCTTTACAATCAGGTAAAAATTAAATAAACTCGATCCATTACAAAGTGGTGGGTTTTAAGACGAGTTTTAAAAACGGACAATGAAGAGGCCTGTCTGAGATGGAGGGGCAGCTCGTTGCACAGTTTAGGACCTGCTGCAACAAAAGCTCAGTGCCCCCTGAGTTTGGTTTTAGGGACCCTCAGGAGCAGCTGGTCAGCTGATCTGTGAGCAGGAGGGTTTGTAGGGATGCAGCAGTTCAGGAAGGTAGGGGGCCATTCAAAGATTTAAAAACAGAATTATTTTAAAATGGATCCAAAAACGCAGGGACAGTAGTGGCATGAGGAACAAATGGGGGGGAATGTGCTTATGTTTACATGTAACAATTAAGAGCAGCACTACAGCATTTTGGACCCTTTGTAGTCGGGCAATGGAGGACCCACTAACCCCCAAATGAAGTGTTGCAGTAATCCAGCCGGGTGGTGACAAAGGCATGTCATAAAATGTTTTATTGGAATGACGGGTTTAGTTTGGCCAGCTGTCTCAAATGATTTAAATTTCTTTGGACTGAACTGATCTGGCTGTCTAATTTAGGTTCTACCTGTTTAACTGGTGGTGTAATTATTCATACAAAACCAACAATATAACAGTGTCTTTGTTTTGTCCAAGGTGTTAAAAGTGTTTTTTTTTTTTTACTGATTGAGTCTTCTGTCCCGTATTTTATATACTTACTTGTTCATTTGTTTTCCTAAGCATGACTTCTATGGTGTAACATTCCCTGGTGCTACGGCTCCGATGCCTGGAAGAGATGGCCTGCCTAATAATCTTTATTCTGGTAATTAAAGTTTTGTTTGTGATTGATGTACAGTTACTCTCTACCTTATATAATTATGTGTCTGTTCAAATGTCATTTTTATAGCAGTTATTTTTATAGCAGTTATTTTTGCATGTTTTGAGGATATGGCAGCAAGAATTGTAGCCATTTAAACCATTAACTGACTGTTCCTAATAGACTTGGGCCCTTTGGTTACTTGATAGTTTGGTAAGAAAGAGTTTTTAATTCTCCGTCTTGATTCATTCTCATGTTTTTTTTTTTCTTTTTCTTTACCAAAAAAAAAAAAAAAAACAATTCAGGTGAGGCAACAAAGTTTGGCAGGAATGACTCTTCACCTCCAGCACCCCCAACCAGCTTGTCTACAGCTGGGGTGCAGTCCCAGCCCCAACAGACACAGCAGACAGGGACACAAGGTCCAGGGCAGAACCAGAACCAGGGTCAGCAGACACAGAACCAGGCCTTCCTCAACCCTCCTCTGCCACCAGGCTATGGATACACTGGTAAGAAAATAAATCAGTGTTATGTTAAATAAATTACATGTAATTTCCAAATGGCTTATTAAATTATCATTTATTTACTACATCAAAGGTCTGCCATATTACGCCGGTATGCCTGGGGTTCCCTCAGCCTTTCAGTATGGCCCTACCGTCTTTGTGCCTCCAGCTTCGGCCAAACAGCCTGCAATGGGCCTGGCCAACCCCTCCAGTCAGTACCACCAACAGCATCAGCCCAGTTACGGGCAGCATGCATATGGCACAGGTAAGGCGAGGACGAGGCTCTTTCTGACATGTTTTATAATTAACTCATTAGTACAAAAACAGCACATTTCCCCTCAGCTTAAATAATAGATACATTTTCAATAAACGATTACAAATCTTATCATAGACGTTTACTGAGTTTAGTGTTTTGAGATATAGCTTCTAGTGATATTTATACTTTATACTGTCATGGGCAAAAAGGCAGTAATAGGAGTATAAAGAAAGGAAGAAAGACTTACTGCATGTGTGTGTTGGGGCGTGTTATCTCTGTTTTTTTAATTTTGCTTATGCTGCTTGCATAGCTAAAACCCACTGCTAAAGTTGGACTCGGCTCAATATACACAGCTGCCTTTGTAGTCAGGTTACCTTACTATCTCTCTCCGGCTCCATCTTCTCTTCACATCCACCTTTTCTTGGTCTTCACCAATCTGTTTCTCATCTCCCTTCTCCTCCCTCCTTCTTTCCTCGCTCCTCTTCTGTTCTGTACTCTTCCTCTTCCTTCAGCCTTTGATGACCTGTCTCAAGCCCATGGTGGGGAATACAATAAGGCAGGGTACGGAGGCTCTGCCCAGTCACAGGCCAAGTCAGCAGGCAGCGGCCCAGGGAAAGGTACATAAAACACATCTGCATACAGAAAAAAATATTTATACCAGTATATAAAATCTGGGAATTTTTTTTTTAAGTATGATCAATTTTATGGGCATAGGTGTGTAAATGCATGCCTCTGATTACATATTGATGTACAGTGGTGCATGCTAAAGGATAAGACCGATTAAAACACGCCTTTGCAGCTCCTCACTTGATATGCTTCTTCCTACTGGCTGGCACCTGTAACACTAACACAAAAACATACATTTAGGATTCGCTATTAGCAGTAGACTGATTACAGCTTCTATTAATGTCTTGACATACTACTTCATATCCCTCCCCATTCCCTTGGTTCATATTTTTTATTTTAATGCTCTAATAATTTTTCTGTCTGTCCTTCTGCCTCTTGTTCATTCTTCTCTCAGCAACAGGATTGTCAGGACCGGGTACCAGTGGTGTAGTTCCTGACATGGGAGCTTCTATATACAGCAAAACACAGGTGTTTATGTTTTATGTTTAAAAGAGGCCGAGTTGATAAGAGTTGTTTTTTATTTATTGATGTATTTATTTTTAGATTTTGACAGTGCTTTGTGAAGAATAGATGTTAACTTTGAGTGGGGTGTCACTTTAACAAATGGACTTGAGAAGTGCCAAAAAGACTTTGACCACTTTCTGGTAAAAACAAGAAAGTGTTGATTCTTCAATTGCACATACACTTGAATAAAAAAAATAAAAATAAAAAAAAATTTTAAATTCATTTACCCTTTTTTGTAACGATCTATAGTACTGGTTGTTTTAAAGATGCATGTTATTTTTGCACAATTAATAAATAAAAAAGCAGTGACAAACCTAAGAACACTGAAGCAAATGAATTTTGAATTATCTTGTCAGTCAATTTTATTTATAAAGCACATTTAAAAACAATAGGTTATTTTCAAAGTGCTGAACACTAAAAGAACGGCAGAGATGAAAAGAAAAGACTACCATACTTGCTGCCGTACACGTCGCTCTGCCGTATAAGTTGCATCAGTCCAAATATGTCTAATAAGGTGGGAAAAACAAATATGTTGCGTCACTGTATAAGTCACATCTGTTATGCATCACCGCTGACCACCCGGAAATGTGGGCCGGTGTTGTGCCAAAAATCGATAGCTGCCAAATGGCAACTTTAGGAGTGTGCACGGGAGGACTTTAACAAGAGTAACACATTAAAACAAGTATTTGTTTGCTCGAAAATATAGTAAAGGTGTGTCTTATGTTTAACTTTTCCTTAATAAATGCACTTTAATGGTCAAAATAGCTTCGTTTCAAAAATCGATTCGCGGGAGGGCATAGAGTGAGGACTCGCTGTGCATTTCGTCGAAATTTAACAAGATTAACACCTAAAAACAATTGTTTGCTTGACATGACACTAAATGTGTGTCTCAGTTGAACCTTTCCTTAAAAAATACACTTTAATGGTCAAATCAGCTGCATTTCACCTGGGCGGCCCGGCGAAATGCAGCTGATTTGACGTTTGCTCCAGGAGTTCCGGAGCGAGATGAAGGTGGCTCGATATGACAAGCCAAGTGTCTCATTAATATTCACTTTTACCTATTAATGAGACACTTGGCTTGCCATATTAGTTGAGTGCCCTCTAGCGGCTGAAAATGGTAGTGTTCAATATTTTCCATGTCAGAATGAATGAAATCGTCAGATCGCAGCCAAAAATTGGGTTATAAATATGGAAAAAACTTAAATAAGTCGCTTTGCCGTATAAGTCGCAGGGCTTGCTAATTTATGCAAAAAGGTGCGACTTTTACAGTGAAAAGTATGATATAAAACAAATTGATTTTAAATCTTACTTTAAATTCTCTTGTTCTTAAAAGAAATGATCCAGTAAAAACCTGGCAAGATGTGAAAGATAAATCTGGCATATGAGTTGATTTGTTGATTTGTTCAAGTTTTGGGTTAATGTATTTTTAAGAATAATTTTGATTTCAGAAATACTTTTTTTTTTTCTTGTCAAATTGCTGTCTGTTATTTATGGACAAAATCAAACAAAAATATTGGAAAGAACTAGAGAACCGGTATGCGTCTTTGCAACAGGCTGCTTGAAGATACTTTTAACACAAAATTTAGTTCATCCTTTCAATTCAAGCGCTTTCTGTTAGAGAAAAATATTCTCTCTTGACTTGTTTAACTTGCTAATAAAAGAACTGCACTTGCTGGCAGGAGAAGATTTTTTTTAAATCGATATTTACTTGCAAGGTCGGATTTTCAAGACTGGTTACAGGAAGTACACACATGAAGACCAGTCAGGAGCTGTGTGAAGCTTGTTTTTATACACTTATCAGTACAGCTGACCCCACAGCCTTGAAGGCATCCTTGAAGCGACATTTGCACGCTGCAGCCTCACCCACCTCCCCATCCAGCTCTCTACTAACCAAACATATGGTTCATGGGCAGAGTTAGCATTCTCAGCCACAGTAGTTAAAAACATCCATAAACTTTGACCAAAAATTCCTTAGCACTTTCGTTTATAATAACTTGATCATAATATGCAACTCTGGGTTTTAGGAACTATAAATACTCAGGAACTATATTAAAAATGAGAGAAAAAGCCACCAAAGTTGAGAGAATAATTTAGACTTTCAAAAAGCCTGATCTCTTTAGATTAAAGCAAAAGTCTGGATACAAATCTGAACATGGTTCAGTGCTGATTTATTAGTGTACAGTTAGTAATAATAACCTTGTGTTCTTCTTGTGCTCCTCAGTCATTTGACAAGCAGGGTTTCCACACAGGGACCCCACCTCCCTTCAGCCTGCCTTCAGCACTGGGAGGGACAGGGCCCATAAACCCTGCGGGTGCACCTGGCTATGCCCCTGCACCCTTCCTGCACATCCTGCCTCCACACCAACAACCCCACTCCCAGCTGCTGCACCACCATCTCACACAGGACGGACAGGTAAACGAAGCACGCCTCACATTCTGCCCTCTCAGGCTGACAGAGTAATTTTAAATTCAGACCAAGTTTAAAACATTCACCTTAAAATGTTGTAGGATTTTTTTGGGTAATAATAAAACAATGCGCTGTGAACTTAGGAAAAGTTCATTAACCTAATCAACTTCACAGACTAGAATGTTGGTAGCCTGGTCTAGAAAATTAAAAGCTGAACTCGGACAACTCCTAATCCATTAGAACATAATTTGACAAATGTATAAGAATTTTGAAACGGTAGAGTTCTCTCTTGAAGTTGTGATCACTATAAGGTTCTTCAAATTTAAATGGTGGGGAAAATAAATAAAATCTAACCTCTGGGTCATTGCAGGGTGGTCCTGGTCAACGCAATCAGTCCGGCAGTATGCAGCAGAAAACCCAAGGCAGCAAGTCCAGCTATGGCAGCTCCCCATACTGGGCAAACTGAGGAATACTTCCCATTCCCCTCTCCCCATAAGGCTGTATGCGCGTGCATGAGCGCGCATGTGTGTCAAGCAAACAACAACTAAGCGAACACACACACACACACTATCCTCCCATTGAGCATTTATGCTCTCCCCACCTACCCAAGTCCTCATAAGTCTTTTGGGTTCTCTCTTCCCCCTCTTTTCAGAATTGGTTGTACATGTAAGATATTTATGTATGTATTTATATATACAAATATATATATACTGTATATGTAATAGTAGAACATGAAACGTGGTATTGCATTTTATTTTTGAAGGACATTTGTTTACTTTTTCAAAACTGCAGGAAACAATGTTGCATTATAAAAATGGATTGACAAAGATGAGCATGTGGAGTGATAGATCAGATTTTCCTGGGAAATCTAGGAAAACAATGGAGCAGTAGCACTGATTGCATATGAGGACACTTCAAGTGGGGGGTGGGGTTTATAATTAACTGCATCTTTCTCCTTGTTTTTTTTCTTTATTTTTTATCTTTTTACACAACTCCTTCAATGGTCAAATTCATCTCCATTTAACTTAATTTTGTATCTTCCTGTTTCCTCCCACTCCTGGACGCTGCCTACTCGCTGTGTTGACATCTTCTCTTTTTAAAAACAAACCTGCCCAACCAGTTTTTATATTTAATTTAATTTTAACCATTATTTCTCTCCAAATAAAGTTCTGAGCAGTTTGGGCTCTTAACATGTCTTTTTGTGTTTTCTTGATGCATTTTATTTATTTTATTTTTTTTTAATCTTTAGCAGATGGGAAATGATGCAACAGAACTGTTTGTGATACAGCAGCATAGCAGATTGGAAAATAATGCTATGCTTTTCTAGTTGTCTTTTGTAATGGCTTTGTATATTGAAACTTATCAGCCTTTTTTGATTACATGACATCCGAGGTGTATAGATTGAAAAGAGGCCCACTCATTTCAAGCTCTGAAATCAATCATAAACTGGTTATCCTGAATATCAAATGGTGTCGTTTCAGTTTACTCCAGTATTTATAGATATGTTGAAGACAAACGTGATTGACCTAATTAGGTTGATCAAAAGAACTAACTAGGTAATTAATACCTTCAGTCACTTCAGCTCTTTCTATATGTTTATATAAACACAATAGTTGGCATTTGGTAACTCTTCCAAAGGTTTGCTTTAAACTTGCGTTAACCAATATGAGAAACGTATTGTGATTTTTTTTTTTAATTTGTCGGGTCAGCTTTTAGTTGGCGAACTAAATATTTAACATATTCAGAAACTAAAAACATTGGCACAAACAAACTTGACCATACATTTGGTTTTTTTGTTTTATTGATCATGGAAAAGAAACTAGTTATTTTATTACTTTATTTGTGGTTTTAGACCTTAGTGGCACAATACACAGCTTCTGTTTAAATTAACTTTTACAGTACAAATTTTGGATTTAATTTGTGTGCGTGTGTGTGTGTGTGTGGGGGGGGGGGGGGTGTCAATATTCTGAAGCATTTTTTTATGTAAGATTTTCTTTAATTCTCTTACCAATTAAAAGTTGTGAGTTTTGCCTCCAAACGTTATTATATGGATCTGAATTTAACCATTGTGGCAAACAGGTTGACATGTTTTGCTATATTTTAAAATGAAATAGCCACGTGGCAATCCACCTTGACCAAGACTTGCAATAAATCATCACAAGACACCTTAAAACAACACATAAAATTATTAGTAAATTAAAAAAAAAAAAGTGTAAAATGTCTCATAATAAGGCTAACTTTGATGCTTGTTCATGACTTGAAAAGCATTTTTTGAACAATAAAAAACAACTATCACATTTTAAGATATAAGTACACAGATAATAAGAACATAAATGGGGAAACCAAATGTTCTTACTGACTTTTTTACATTTTTATTTTTTAGATCAAATAAAAGTTTAAAATTTGCCTCCACAAAAATGCAGCATTTCTTTTGTGAGGGAAAATAAGAGGTGACAACAGTCAGTTAATCATTCGGAGTAATCCAACCTTTTAATATTTTATTCATATTTAGAAAATAGTATTAAGTAGACATTATAGTTTTTATAAACGTAATGGATGTTTTAGAAGTCCAATAAAGTGGAATGAGCAGTTCGATTTAATCATTAATAGTTACTGATGTATTATTGACACACTATGATGTACTATTTAAAGGACACTATCAGAAAAAAATTAAATGTCATCTGGACAAGGTTAGGGAGAATCTTTTAATTATTTTTTTTATTTCAATGACCGTTTCAGCAGACGACTTCTACAGTATTATGTAGTCTTACTAATCACCACCAGGTGGCAGTATAGAACTATAATCTTAGTATCCTGATGAATGCTCAATAATTCAGGTAGAAAAATCTAAAGTAAAATCAGGTCCTCTGGACGGATTCTTAACATCTGGATGGACTGTAAGATTTAATTCAGTTTATTTATATAGCGCCAAGTCACAACACAAGTCATCTCAGGGCGAATCCGTCCAGAGAACCTGACTTTACTTTGTTGTATATTGCTTCTTAAGGTCTTCTCTGGGTAAATACTTTTTCAAAATGCCAAACATTCATGCAGACATTAGCTTTTTATTAAATTGGCATGGACCTTTACGTTGAATAAAACTGCAATTCAAATTTAGGATAATAAGTCAGAGAAGAATGCTGACTTAATAAGCCTAGACCTTAATGGTAAAACACTTCTTGCAATTGCTTGATTGTTATCTGGGATCCAATTGGAATACTAATTAAAGACTATAAAAACTGGCAGCACCTCTCTGTGAGAAGATCGCCAGATCGAATCCTAGTCTTGGCCTTTTCTGGGTGGAGATTGCATGTGCATGTTGGGTTTTCTCCAGGTATTCCAGTTTCCTCCACACAGACTAAAAACATACATTTAGGCAGATTGGTAACTCTAAATTGTTCCTAGGTGTGAGTGAGAGTGAATGGCTGTCTCTGTGTCCCTGTGGTGGACTTGCAAACTGTCCAGGGTGTCCCTCACCTCTCAAACCGTCACTTCTGGATATGGGCACCAGTGATCCAAAAAGGTAGAAGTTGATAAAAAATAATGGCTGGATGGACTATAAAAACTAATCAGAGCCATAGTATATGGAGCCAGTATATCCTGAAAACTAGAAGAGAGGGAGAGAGAGAGAGCGTTTACCTCCAGATCAATTTAAATAACCCTGAAAGTCCCGATAGTCGCTAAATGCTTCGAAAAACTGGTCATGACTCACATCAAAACAACCATCAACATCAACGAGGACCCTCATCAGTATGCATACCGTGAGAACCGATCAACAGAGGATGCAATCTCCTCTGTGGTCCACACTGCGCTCAACCACCTGGAGCAGAAAAACTCTTACGTCCGTATGCTCTTTGTGGACTTCACATCCGCCTTCAACACCATGATCCCCCAAACCCTGATGGACAAACTATCCACACTAGGACTAAGCCCCTCCATCCGCAACTGGGTACTAGACTTTTTAACAAACAGACCACAGTTAGTGAGGATCCACAACCTCTCCTCCTCCACCATAACCCTCAGCACTGGCTCTCCTCAGGGATGTGTGTTGAGCCCCCTTCTGTTTACTCTGCTCACATATGATTGTGCAGCTACCCATCCAGGCTGTCACATTGTAAAGTTTGCAGATGATACAGCGGTGGTGGGATGCATCACAAACAATGATGAGTCCAGCTACAGGCAAGAGGTGGAACACCTGGAGAGCTGGTGCAAAGAGAATAACCTTCACATCAATGTGAAGAAGACAAAGGAGATGATTGTGGACTTCAGAAGGAACAAAAACATCTACACCCCCCTGAACATGAGAGGATCTGCGGTGGAAGTGGTCTCCAGCTACAAGTACTTGGGTGTACACATGAATGACAACCTCAGCTGGAGCAACAACACCACCAGCCTGATCAAGAAAGCTCATCAGAGACTCTACTTCCTCAGGCGGCTGAGGCGAGCTGGTCTGGGAAGCTCAGTCCTCACCTCCTTCTACAGGTGTGCAGTGGAGAGCATCCTGTGCTCCAGCATCAATGTGTGGCATGGAGGCTGCACAGCTGCAGAAAGAAAAGCTTTGCAGAGAGTGGTGAAGGCTGCACAGAAATCTGTTGGAATCAGTCTCCCCACCATCACAGACATCTACACCTCCAGATGCAGGAAGAGGGCCACCTGCATCATGAAGGACCCCACCCACCCAGCACACACACTTTTTGCCCCACTCCCCTAAGGAAGGAGGTTAAGGAGCATTAAGTGTAGAACCACTAGACTGAGGAACAGCTTCTACCCTGAGGCTGTTAGACTCATGAATCTCTAACTAGAATAATCACTGTGAAAAACCATATCATGTTGCTGCTGATCTGTTTCATGTTGCTGCTGATCTGTTTCATGTTGCTGCTGATCTGTTTCAATGTTGATGTGTTCATGCGTGCACATCTGCTCACAGACTCATGTTCATGTTTGTGCTGATGTTCAATGTTTTTATGTTATGAGTGCTTAGTGTATATTTAGTTGATGTTTTTCTTAGTTCATATCTTAGATGTTATTACTGTTTTTCTTATATATTTTATTGTCGGATGTAACTGGGACCCCGTGTACATAATTTCGCTCCACCACATGTACCACATGAGGTGCGAATGACAATAAAGAAACTCTGACTCTCTGACTCTGAAATCTTGCTGACAGAGGATAAGAAAAGAGGAAAATGATCCAATGCAGAGCACAAATAACAGAAATTCAGTGAGTGGCAGGTGTTACTGTGGATTAAGTGCAGAAGCCTGCAGCAACGAGGTCAAAAGTCAAAGTGTATTTAAAAGGCCAACCTCAGCTTCCCCGTTTGAGCCCACCCACACACAGATACCAGAGTGGAGGGGCAGCGGAAGGACCTGAGGGAACGGAAAAGAACATGACATAATAAAAGTGGAGGAAAATAAAGGGAGCAGAGTCATTCCAGAGACAAGAACACCATGGAAGAAGACCAGGCAAGCCATGATGGAAAATTTAGGAAACGAGAAAGGTATCAACAACCAATAAGCATGAGAAAGACACTTCACGTATTTATTTTTCTTCTTTATGGGGCAAGAGCATCATGTGAGGAATTCCTCCAGAACATCAAGCTTTAAACTGAATGAACAAATTAGCCATGCCCTTCATGGAAAAATAACTGGTTGTCTGCAGTTTCCCAATGGGACTTTTGATTGTAATGTATTACAGTATGGAACACCAAAATGCTCACAACTAAATAAATAAATAAAGCATTGTGAAATATGTAGCTCATTATTACAAATTTTTTTAATTTTTATTCTTTTATTTCATAATTGTGCTTTCCATGATAGTTTATTTATTTCATAATTCCACTTTTCAGAAGAATGACTTCATCTGTCAATCAACGTCAGTGGGTTGAACCAGCACGCCCACTGGCTGATCCTTCACATCCATTGGTTTTCCTGAATACCTGCTCACTCACAGACATAATTTAGAGCTAATCATTTAGATAGAATTTATAATTTAGAGCAAGCAAATAATCGTTTTTTACGTGGTGATCTTGTTAAATTCAAAGAACTAAAAACAGCGAGTCAGAAAGACTTCTTCAGTCTGAGGAGCTGTATTCAGCTCAGTCTTATAAATAGCACCTTCTTGTAGTGGATCAACCAGTTTGTTGTTGACATTCAAAACCAGCTGTTCACATGATCAAGGAGGACCATCAGCCTAACAATGGATCGTTAGCGCCCTGATGGCCGCTTGCTATTCACAGGGGGCTGAGTGATACTAGCAGCAGACAGATGTGAAGGCTCATCCAGTGGGTGTGAAGGTCCAACCCACTGACGTTGATTGACAGCTGAAATCATTCTGCTGAAAATGAAATAAACAAGCTATCATGAAAACCACAATTATGAAATAAAAGGATAAAAATCCTATTTTTTTTCTCATTTCATAATGTTTTATTTATTTGTTTGATTTTGAGCATTTTGGTGTTCCATATTACAGAAGCTGTTGAGTTGTTTAGTGAGTTTTACTCAAACTCTGTTGGGTGTAAATACACAATTCCCCTTGTTTCACCGAGATGCAGGAATGCTCACAGGAATGCCCCTAAGTGTGCTTGTTGACACTTATGACCGCTCAGATGTCGACATGTTGTTGGGGTTCACGAAGTTCACTCGGATGAAAAACACGGGGATCTACGAGGCAGTCACACAGGAGGATATCCCAACAGAGGTCCTAAAAGATCTGGTGCTTTGAGACGTGGGAGCTCAATTCTAAAACCAAATTTTGCTTAATTTAGTCTCCTTAACTTGTAAAAACAAACCCTTCTCCTTAACTGAATAAAAAACAACCAGCTGCTTTTTTTAAAGCTCCTTCTTCTCCCTAGACACTCTTGTCCCTGTAGTTGTGAAATGTAACCGCGAGTTCATTCAGCAAGAAACTGCAATCAGTGTGATTATGCTGATTTTCACTTGTGTCCCATGCAGAACAGTTTTTGCAGTGCACAGAGATATAACCACAGACAATTGGTGCAAAATAAACACATCTATCAACAAACACTTTGAATGAATGAATGGATGGACCAACTGCAGGTAATACCAGGCACAATTTATAATAATGACATCATTTCCTCAGCTGGACCTGCAGTGAGAGGGGCATCTCACCTGAAGCTTCACTCGGCAATGGCTTCAAGTTTAATTCTATAGAAAGTGGTAAACACCTGCTCACGTCCAAGCAAAAAGGAGATGACTTTTTTATCGTAATTCAATTTATACACTCATAAAAAGGATGTCTTAATAACAACTGTGTCCAAAAATGAACCAAACTGAGCATTTATGTTAGCTGCAGTGGATAGTGAGCGGGGTGGAGGTTATAGTTTACTCAACTTTACATCGGTATGTCTATGTCAATATTGCCCCAGACGTTGACAAAGCTTGTATTCAACAGAAGGTTCAGCAGTATCCAACATGTAACCTGTCCACTTGTTAACTCGTGGACATTTTGTAGTGAAATCCTAGTTTGTATCGGCCTCACATGTCACACACAAACAAACAAACATGTTTCAGCAACTCTCTGAAAACGTGCAAAACGTTCGTAACTCATATTGTAATTTGTCACGTTCTATCTATATGTACTGCCTTATTATTCATTGCCATATGTTCATTTTCTGTAACCTGTTTGTTCCTGTGCACAGTTGTGGGGAGCTGCAGTGTGGCAGACAGGGTCCCTCTGCCAGTTCGTCTATATGTGCCAGGGGCCACATATAGACGAACAACCAAGCACTCATACATACACCTGTGTGTGTGTGTGTGTGAGAGAGAGAGAGTGTGTACACCTAGGGCCCATTTAGCATTGCCATTTAAGCTGACACACTTGTTTTTGGTCTGTGGGAGGAAACCAGAGTAATGGAAAACCTATATGTGCATGTGAACAACATGCAAACTCCACACAGAAAGGCGGCTTTCAAAGCTGAAATTCTCTTGCCATGAGGCAACAACACTAACCAACCGTTCCACCATGTCCCATAGAAACATGTCGCAAGTTGCTTTTGTTGCCAAAAGTTGCTTCTCATTTGTGCTTCACTGGTACAGACTTTAAACCTGAACTTTTTGTTTAAAACTGTAAATTTGTAAATTAGTACAATAAATAGGTGGGAAAAGCAACAAAACCAAGATAATTTATTCCTAATACCTTTGAGGTTTGTTGCATTGTAGACATAATAACACAAATGTGAATATATTAATTTAAGTTGTCAGTGCACGAGCACTGAAGCACACATTCTGCTATTTTTATTTGGATCCTGTAGCTTGTCCTGAAAAAAAAAAAATAAATGCACAAAACCTGTGGCTTAGTTGGAAATTGTGTGTTTTGATTTTTGATAGTGAAGCATGAAATAGACAAAATAAAATAAAAAAATAAAAAACTGTGAAAATATAATAATGGAGAGTAATAAGATTTTAGTCAAACACGTGAAAACAGTGAAAAACAATAAAATAAAACAAGATACACAATTACAGTATAACTTTTTAAAACTTTCCACACAATATTAAACTGACAATCAATGGTTTCACATACTAACTCTTAAATTGCTTAATGAATAATGTTTTTAAATCTTTTGCTAGCAGACTCAAATTCTCATATTTCATGGCACATATATAAATTTTACATCAAATGTAGGGATTTGTGTTTGCCTCACTGCAGTAGGACATGATCTCAAATCCTCCCAGAACACAGAAAGCACGCACCCAGGTTTCCATAAACTTTAATTACATTTTTGCCTGAAACGTATTAATCTCCCCTCGCAATCGGACTTCGGAATAAGTGGAAGATAATGGATGGATGGACGTAGTATTCTAAAACTGAACTTTCAGTCTGTTTTTTTTAATTGTTTGCTTCTCAATAACTTGACAGTGTGGGAGTGGCATGTGGTTACCATGGTGATCATAATAAGCCACTGCAACATTTCATTGTTTTGCTTTCTTTACACATTTTAGAATGTACCCCTTTTGTTCCTTATTTTTGAATTTTTTAAATTTTTGTTGAAATATTAGAAACCATTCAAATTTTATTTTATGTTCCACTTGCGGATAATGTTTGGGGGGCACAGGGCCCAAGAGAGGATTTGGGTTTTAATTACAAAACTACATGTTTCTGAGTAAAACGCTAAAAAGAAGAAGAAGAAAAAAGACTAGAAAAAAAAAGATGAATGTTAACTTAGTCGTGATTTCTTAAATGCAGCCCTTGAATGTGGCCCCAACGTGTGTGGTTTGACCCCTGTGTGAGCTGTGGCTGGCACGTCGGTGTTGTGCCAAAAAAAGCGCCCCCTGCTTTTTTTCCTCCCGCCGGCACAACACCGGACTGCGAGCGCGCGATCCAAACCGCTGTTTTTAAGACCCAGAGGAGCTCGGAAGGGAAACCCCGCGGCTTTAGTTGTTTCTACTCTCCCGAGTGTCAGCTAGTTATTTGTGGGGAGGCGCTGTAGCCATTTCGCCACATAAAAGCACAATGAGCTGAACGGCCGACATCCGAGTTGTTGGTGGAAGAAGAGAAACCAGCTTTGAGGAGCTCCGCGCGCGCACACTTCACGAACCTGTGCGTGAGCACGCACGGCGCGCAGGCACGCACACACTTCCTCCTCGTCCTCCGTGGAAAAAAAAAAAAAAAAAGAGGGAGAGAGGAGCAGAGAGGGCACACGAACTTCCAACTCTCCCATGTGGAAAGCAGAGGTTTGAAGAAAGGTGTATTTCCTCTTCTCCCCTCTGCCCGTTTCTCTTCCCTCTCAGTGTTTTTATTTTATTTTTTTGCCCGTTTAATTGTGTTTCTATGAGCGTCTTCCTTGGCGAGAGGAGAAGTTTGGTTGTTTGCCTTGTCGGCTGAGGAGGAGGTGGTGGTGGTGGTGGTGGAGAAGAAGAAGAGGAGTCTGGTTAAAAGTGGAAGAAGATGGTCCACAACGCCGCTTGGAGAAGGAGCTTGCTTTGCGTCCTGGCGCTCAGTCTCGGCTTTGCGTCGCCGCCGTGCGAAGCTCGGATTTACACCAACCACTGGGCGGTCCGGATAGCCGGGGGACCCGAGGTGGCCGAACAGATAGCGCAGAAATATGGCTACAGGAACATGGGACAGGTGAGTCACGTTTGTTGCCAAAAGTTGCTTCTCATTCGGGCCCATTTGTCCTTCACCGGTCTGGACTTTAGACCTGACCTGAGCCCACGGACCTTCTCCTCCGTGGCTCTCTGACCCAGCAGGGACAAAGACCGTGGAGCAGGATGGCACAACAGGTGCCTCTCTCTGGGCTTCCACTGAGACACTGGGACACCGTGAAGTCTCAGCCTCGCACTCACAGCTGTCCCCTGGGGTTTGGTTGTCTCACCAGGGCTGTGTGGGTCACCTGAAGACACAGCTTCTGCTCATTTAACAGGAGTTGGACAGAAGGACATTAACTTCTAGCACTGAAGGATTTAATTCAGAAACTTTGAATGAATGTGACTCTTGCTCCCACAGTAGAAAACAGGGCTGAGTTCACATTTTAAATTTATCCCTTAACAGACGCTCCTGTGATTTGACTAATTTTCCATCTGACAAAACCTTTACAAGGAAGATTGCAATAAAAATGGCTCATATTGCCTTAAAGTTACTTATATTGTGTCTTGTTTGTTTGTAGTCCTTCGGACATGTAAACGTTCCGCCCAAGCCCCTACAGTATTCAGGATTTGGCACCTCAGGCTAAAAGCGAAGGCCTTACTTCAAAATGACTTGACACACGAGCAAGAGAAGAATTGACCATAGTTTGGACTTATTGTGACATAGTTCACATAATGTGTTCTCAAAAGAAAAGAGCCACTTGAACATAGGACACCCCCCCCCCCCCCACACACACACACATACTAAAGTACAACTGACATGGGTAGTTCATGCCTGCGCTTGCCAGCGTTCGGTGTGCAGACAGCGCCGAACATAGAGAGGGAGGGGGCATTCTGACAGGTTGTTGTGGGGTAGCCTAGTCAACAGCTATTAAACCCCCTCACCCCTCCATTTCCACCTTATCCAGCCTGCCCACCCACCATACTCCCCCCAGAGAGCAGGCATTAATGGCCTCGTTTATCCCCTCCCCTTGACAGCAGCTAATGTGTGGATCCCCCCCCATCCCCTTCAATGCTACTCCCCCCCCTCCACCCCCGCCCATAGGAATTCCCTAGTAGTTGAGTGTCGCCCCCAACCCCCACGGTTCGCCCTAATTTCCATTTCAATATGAAGCGTTCGTTGGACTTTGACACCTCATAGACAAGAGTTTTGCTTCACTTCCTGGTTTTAGGGGGGGTCACTTCCACGGGAGTGATGGCAGCACACTCTTGTTGCCTAATGTGAACTCTGACATCTCTGTCATCAAGCTCCCCACCCTGTTAATCATAGCAGCACGTTATGTATTGACAGTAAAATGAAGCTACTGAAGATAAATGGTTTTCTATTTTCTGTTGTTAATTTTTGCAAATTTTAAAGTTATTATTTATTTTACTTTTTAACATGAGACGAGAAGTATTTTTTTATGTAAAAGAAAGGAATCAAAGTGGGAGAAGGGGGGATGGGAGTAAAACGATGCAGAGCAGGGACAATATAGTCTTCTTGACAGGGTTGGGAAAAGGAAAATTGGACAAAGATGAGCACACACTGGGAGATGGTAGAATAAGGGAGTGAAAGAAGGAACGATAGATGGATGGATGAAAAAAGTTGGCATGGAGTACCAGAGCATCTCGTTGGGGAATTCTGGGTAATCCTCTTAACCATGGAGCCCCCTTCCCAGACTAAGACACTGGCCCACATTGAGTTTAATCAGCTGACAAGGCCCCAGACGTTGGTTTCTGTCCAAATTGGTGTTTTTAAAGGGATGGGAGAGGATGTGGAAGCCATTGAGAGCTAGTGGTCATAATCTGGAGCCAGACCTGGACGGGAGACACTTGGATCAATAACAATTTAGGACATTATTTGTACAGTTTGGGTTGGTGTGTCCTTGTTTTTTTTTTTTTTTTTTTGGAAGAGAAACATTATCTGTTTCAAGCTAAATATAAAAGGTTTGAATAAAAGACAAAAAAAGCTACAAAAAATTGCTAAAACGTGTACAAAAGCAAATGGCACAAATGCCTATTTGAAAACACAGACGTGCGAAAAAACAGCTTTAACACAAAAAAGCAACACTTCATACAATGTGAACTAATGACTTAAAAAGAACAACAGAAGTAAAGAGCATTTTAGAAACCAGAAAAATGAGCAGATATTGAAATAAAATGGCACAAAACGTGAAAAAAAAAGTTAGCAAATTATTATTTTTTGTTGAAGTTTTTCTTTTTTATTATTATTGCCTTGGTTTTTCTGATGCTTCAGTTTCTGAAATGTTGTTTTTGTGAAATGCACTACTTTTTAAAAAGTTGTGTTGCTTTGTTGTGTTTCACACCTCAGGCCCATCTTAAGCAGATGTCACACAGTTACAGACAGTATTTACAGGAGTTTACAAAAAGTTGAAACTACTCTGTAATCAACGCACACTTCTTTTGACACTTTCACATTGATAAACGCGTGTGACTTTCTATTGTCTCGATTTGAACACATGAGACTAATTCAAATAAAACCTGATCCTCTAGTTTAGTTTTTTGAGCCTTTAAGCTATAACTTACATTGGAGCGAAAAGTTCAGTTTTCTAAAGATGACATGACATGAAAGACTAATTCAGTGGAAAAGTAACAGAGAAACAAAACCTCTTAAATCAACAATGCACAAGTGCAATTTAGCCTTATTGAACTTCCACAAGTTCCCAGTGCACCAGTTTTCCTGCACAAGTTGTAATATATGTCGCATTTGGATAACATCTGTTGACCAGTAAAAGCGCCTGCACACGTCCGTGATCACATGCGCTCATAACTACGATAACAACTCCAGCCCTTCTTGTGCTTTAATCAAAGATCAAAGGTGGGAGATAAAGACGTTTGAAGCTGTGCAGTAAAAAAGCAAAGCTGACTTGTTTCTTTACTTATCAGTGTGTAAGTTGACAACTTGTGTTTGAATATGAGTTGAAAGCTGATCTTATGGGTTCTGTGGCAGTGGATCAGTGATGCACCACAGGACTCCTGGCAGCCATGACTGCTTGATCATCTGAGGGATTGGTTGGTCTTAATCAATTATTAAAACTAATCACCATCCAGCAGCTTACTGTCTGTCTATCATTGTTTGTTCTCATTTTCTCGCTGTCATGGAAAGTCTTTGATTGTGTTTGTTTGCCTTCTAGTTTAGGTTTAAGAAAAACAAATATTTATGTACAGTCAATATGACTTGTGTGTATATTTGCACAAAATATAATTATTTAAAAAATAATTTGAAGTACCCCTGAAGTATTTAATTTGTGATGGTTGTTCAATAATTTATTAATCAGATGGGTAACTATTTTTCTATTCTGGTACTATGCACATTTTTATGTTTGTTCGTTTGGATGTTAATGAATGCACAAGATAAGTCTTACTGTACATTTACAATATGAGGTAAAATTACACACAGTAATGTGGTCATTATGAGAAATAAATATCTTCAGCTATAAAATAGCAAAGTTGAAAACACCACAGTGGTTGCTCTGTCCTACACAGAGTGGCTACCTTTAGATTGTGAGGTTGGGATGCAGAGACAGAAACTCCCCCAGATAAAATAAATGCACAACAAAACTGAAGCAAGACCAGCTTCTGAAACACCAAGCATCTCTGAAAATACTTGAAAAGTAAACGCTTTACGGTGGTGTTGCAGAAAGAAGGCAACAGTACTAACACGTATACTGTAAATCTATATGAATTTAAATCTATTTGCATGTTTTTCAGATTGGGGAACTCAAAGACCACTATCACTTCTTCCACAGTCGGACTATCAAGAGATCAACTTTGTCCAGCCATGGTCGCCATAGTTTCATCTCCATGGAGCCAAAGGTGAGTCTTTTTGCAGTTTTACAATGATCGTGCTCCTGCTGTAGTTCCTGTTTATTTTATTGCAGCTTTCTGTGGATTTAATTGCTCCGATCTACTGGAAATTACCTGATCATGTACATTATGTGATCAAACTGGTCATCGGAGCCACAGTAGATGAAACGCCACCTGTTTAATGATGATCACAAGCAGTCGTTTTAAAGCAGGTGATCCTTGAGTTTTAATGATTTTATTAAAAATCAGTATGTGGGACTGTCCATCTGCTCGCTCGCTCACTCACTCACTCGCTCACTCACTCACTCACATGCACATCATGTTATACTGTTTTAACATTTATATTAGTGATGACTGGAGTTTTGCAAAACAAACCTTGAACATTCAAATACAATATTTTCATATGTTAAAACCAACTGAACAATACATTTTATTTGTTTACTGTAACATAGTATTGATATCATCTTGGAAAAATTATTCACAATAATTTCATATATATTAAGTAATTTGTATTTAAGATTTTTGTTCTGGCCACATTTCTTCCTAAAAATTAAATTTTATCTTTGTTCTTCCAGGTTTTTGCGATGCGTTGAACAGTTTCCAAACACATTCTACTATAACTCATTGTATATTTTAATAAGATAAACAACTAAAACTGAATAATTTCTATAATGCTTATTATAAGTCATTTTCCTATTTGCATAGGTGGAAAAGCAGTAGCTTCAGATGCAGCATCAAATGCTTTATAGAATATTTTCTTTTTTTATTTTGTGTAAAACATTTTGTACAACAAAAACATATATTTTCTAGTTAATACATGGGTTAACCCTGTTTTGAGCAAGAGTTTGTAAGGATTACTCATTCTTATGCTGACTGCTTTTGCTTTTTATGAGGACATTGTGCCAGGGCTACACTGTAAACACTCTCACTTTCTAAAAACAAAACTTTACCAAAATAGTCCAGACTCACAGCTAAATCCATAAGAGGTGGATATTTAATAAAAGCACTCGGTGCATCTGTTGTAAATGGACTTCCTTCAGTAATGCCATGTCTAGATGTTTGCATTAAGGGTTATCAAGTAAATGACTTCAAATAGCTTTTGAGGATGAAGCTTTTTGTGGAAACGATAAATTCTTGATGTGTAAATCTTGTCATCTGTTTTTCTCAGACTTGTTTATGTTTGCCTTTTTTAATGAAGATGGTCATCATACTAAATATAATTCTGAGAAAACACGATGCATGAATGCATTTAGCTCCCTGTTGATTAGTAATGAATGCATCACAGAAACTTAACAAAAGAGGATGAAATGGGTAGAAGTTAACAGGAATAAAAAACGGCACCTGCCACCCAGTTCTATTCACTTATTGCTTTTTGCTTCATGGTGTTTTATTTATTTATTTATTCTTTTTTCTTGTGTGGTTTACAAATCTTTAAAACATTAATCTGTTTTCTTTTTCTCTGTCCTGTCTATCTTTCCTTATTTTCTCTGTCCTGTCTGTTTTTCCTTATTTCTTCACTCATTCTTGCTTTAAGTGCACACGTCTCCCTCTTCATCCTCTTCGTGTCTTTGGTTCTTTTGCCCTCTTGAGCCTGACACTGTGCCCTGATGGAGGAAGGTTTGTGTCTTGATGCCAGCTGGCTGAGGGTGTGAAATTTCAGACAATTTGATCAGAGGAGGTGGAATGAGGGAAAGCAGGAAAGTGAGCTATTGCAACTAAAGAAGGATCAGAGGGAAAAGGTAGAAATATGAATTAGGAAAATCAGATGCACAGAAAGAGTAGAAGGTAGAGAAATTGAGTTTTTAGTTTTGTAATTTCAGCATCATCTATGGACTGGTCTGTGGCTCTGGGATCAGTGTGATGGCTACTTTGGCTCCAGCTCAGTCTGGCAAACTGCTAATGATGTTTTGCAATCTGGTTCTGTGATGACAGACATTTGTGTTTTGTATATGTGTGAGTCAGAGGGTGTAGCATGAAAGGCGCACCCTACCATCTACAGTACTTAATGGCACGCATGTTTCCATGGCAATACAGCACATACAGCAGATTACTGGTTTATGGCATTAGTCTAACCACCGTGCCACTGACTTCTCAGGTCAAAGATCATTTTTTTCTGCCAGGTAAAATATGCAAGCACTGACCTCACTTCTTTTTTTAAGGATTGTTAACATTTATGTTAACAATCGGTTTGTCATAAAAGTGTTGCTCTTTGAGCCGTGACGATTTTAAACTCGTCACATAATTTTTTTAGAGATGAATTCCAACAAATGTGAACTCATCCAAAACTGAATATTTGCAAATTTCGCTATTGGTGTTTGCATCACACCTTCTCAAGTCAAAAGGCTTTTTGTTAATATTGCTTGAATAATAGTTACAAACATGTTCTTGCAAAACACTTTTTCATTGTCTGCTGTACTTAATATACATGTACATTTTATATGAACAGGAACAGGTGATCTACCGTTTCCTTATTGCTGTAAAACTAGCAAATATGATAAATTTCAATGTTTTTGTTATGCTCTAAGCAACAGTGAGCCACAGGAGAGGCCCACGCTCAGCTTTACAGTAGTAGTAAAAATAATAGTAATCTATCAGTAGTGAGTAAATTCACTGCTAGACTGCCTAGAAGAGAAATTGAGTTGTTGTCTGTGTTGGTAACAGCACTAGCCAGAAGCTTTTTAAATTTTTTTTTCACCTGGTGACAAATCAGGAATGTCCACTGCAACGCAACACAATGTTATTGCGTTTTTGACTCGAAGAAAAACTGGTCATGATTTGTTTGCCAAAGGTCATGGTCTTCTAAACCTGATAAGGCGACACAAACAACAGTGTGTGCTCACTCTTGGGGCCAATTTAGAAACACCGGTTTACACAACAGGCATGTTACAGTACTGTGGGGGAAAACTAGAAACATTTATATTTTCAGTTATTAATATACAAGTAAATATGGCTCAAAACTCTGACCACAAACTGCCTAAATATACTGTATACAACAAAACATTCACGCCTCTGACCTAATTTACAAGTGATCACTTCTTATACGGAGTGCTGTCAAGGCCCTGCAGACTGAGCTTGTGGAGTAAACTTATCTAACCAAAGTTATGTATTTAAGTTGCTACCTGGTTTGTGCAGTCTTCTTTTAGTCCAATATTTTGGTACAAATTTATGCTTCCTTTTCACCTTCTCACATTTTGTGTACACGTGTGAGGTTGTAGATAGATGTTGATTTAGCTCGTTTAGCACGGGTGAAGAAGTAACAAATTATCTACATGATGTGACTTACCAAGAAAAATATCTGGTGTAATTCACATATTTGCTTTTTGTTTTGTTTTGCAGCTGAATAAGCTTATTTAGTTTTCATTACCTACAAAACATGTTTCTATTTTACAGACAGTATTACAAATCTTTTATGTTAAGAGAACATTGTTCAGTAACACCAGCCATCATATAACACACTTTACTCTTCCATTAGCACAATGCAGACAGCAGTAGTGTTTTATAAACAATGGATAAAAGTTGATAGAGTGTGGGTGAAATGGTGGAATCAGGAACTTCAGCAAGAGAAGTGTCTTCTGTAGCTCTCTATTATATAATGCAAGTCACAGTTCAGCCGAGTACAACAGTCTGAGGAAGATATGGTGGAAGTCAAATCAAAACACGGTCTAAATAAAACCAAACTGGGACTTGTGGTTGGTGCATGCTCAGATTCCAGAGCCAATCAGCTTCCAGGAAGCACCAGTGATCGAAGTGCGCACAAACCTCAGAACAAATCAGCTACTAACAGGGGCTCAGGATAAGCTGGAAGCCATAATATATGGTCTCAATGTCACTTTTTTGCAGACAGACATGACAATATTATTATTGCATCCTTAACACTTAAAATACGCTCTTAAACAACTAAATTGTGGATGATGGGGAGCTGGTTGTAGCAGCTGCTTGGTAATTGATTACGTTTGCACAGGCACAGTGACTGTCAATTTTAAGAGTGGCCAGTATTGGCTGATCATAATCGTTTAGCTGATTAACTAGTCTTTCTCCAAATATATATGCTGGCAACCCAATGCATATCAAAGACTCTTAAATCCTCATTATATACTCTTTTTGAGTATTTATTAGAATACTGTGTTGGTAATGAAAACTAAGCTAATTTTTAAACTTTTTAATAGAAAAATAAAGAACAAAACTTCTTGCATTAAAGAATAGACCTTGTATCTGTTTAAAATGTCTGAACTACATTTCTTTTATCTAAGTTTCTGTCATCCTTAGGATTGAGCATTGTTTGGATTTGAACGATTATCTATTCCAATTCCTTTAAGAGGCAGGGTCAAAAAGGTTTACTGTTTAAATGAGCCAGCTAACCAAAGTTTGTTTTTTTGTTTCTCATTGAAATAGTCTTAACTTTCCTATGAATTCTAAGTTCTATAAACTTTTTACTTTTTATGAACTTTATTATGAATTTCTCACAGGTCTGCTTTCAACCAGTATATATGTAAATAATATCAAACTTGAATATATATATATTTTTAAGACTTTTCTTTTCACAGTGGTACATTTTCACAAGAGATCTTTTAATTTTGAAAACCTTGTGAAAACACATTTACACATATCCAGTGTCTGATGCTGCCACCAGGAACTTAAACATGTTACCGAGCTCCCACTGATGGGCTAAACAGGTGCAGAAAATCAAACGAACTAACCACTTACACACTTATACAACCCAGTTCAGTTTAGCTGCAGGTACAGTATAAAATCAAAAACAGTTCTTCTTGAGGAAAATGATAATTTCTGTCTTTTCAGGCAGTATGCACGAGCGTTCTGGACAGATAGCGTCTCCTGCAGTGGAGAACACACGTTTGCTGGGTGTAGAAGAAACTTGAACACATATGATAAAGCGAGATCTGACAGCAAAGTGTGTCTTTTGTTTGTTCCACCACCATGCAGCAGGGTCCTACAGTATAATGGCTGGTGAAATTTCCTGGTATATGCAACTCTCTCTCCACTTGTTTATT